CAGGAAAGGCAGGAAAACCAAGAGCTAGGTGAATGTATTAATCATTAACAGGTAATCCCCAACCTGGTACTTGGAATTATCCCTTTGTTGACAAGCCGGAGGTATTTACTCTAAACATTGGCTCACAAAAAGGTGTGCATGCCTTTCTTTTTTTTAAAAATGGGAAGAGGAATAATGTGGACGTCAGCATATTTTCAGGCAATTTTAAGAAATAATTTGGAACTTATGGAAGTTGGAGAAGAGCTTGGGATATGTGTCGGTGTGCTTCCACCAGGGAGAAAGCAAAGTAAAAGATTCAAGGATGAAGTCAGCAGAAACTGGAAGATTGGTAACAAGGTTCTAGCATACAGATAAATAGATGAGGGATTCTTAACAAATAGAGAAGAATCATTAATTAAAAAAAAAAATTGAAGGAAATTCCAAGACCACTAGCCGAAAAGCAAATTACTCATAATATTCAAGGCAATATCAAATTGAAAGTGATTCACACCTTGGACTTCTTGGTGAAAAGTATCGAGTTTCAGGGAAAAGAGAGAACCCTATCACACCTACCTACATACACCTGTCCTACAAAAATTAGTTGGCTGACCAGCCTTCCTTATTGCATTAGATACCAGAAGAGACTCGCAGGAAGTCAATACTGATTGGAAATTTTTGTGAAACAAAACTTTTCCTGGCTAACTTAATATTTTAATGTATTTAGGCTCCATAATGATAGTGTGGCATATTAAGAAAGAAATTCTCTGCTGTTCTGGAATTCAGAGGATTATCCAAGTACTTTCCAAAATACTCTCCATTGGAATATTTTGAGGAGAAGAAGAAGGGGGAAGAGGGAAAGTCAGTGGCCAGAACTAGGTTAAGAAAAAAGTGAGAGGTGCCCAGGACGTGACAATGAAGGGATGCTCACTCTCCTGGGTCAGTTCTGTGCTTGCCCAAGCCTGAGAAAGAATGTCTCCTTAAGTTTTGGGCACCTGGCCTGCCTCACCCTAGGGGGGACCTTGAATTACATCCAAATCACAGTGACAATTGCGATACTTAACAGAATATAATTCTGGTATGGAAAGGACTTAATGCAACCCTAATACATTAACTGCCACAAGTTAGAACACAAATTCAGAGAACAGTAATGAAACCAAGGGGACTGTATTTGGGTGCGATGTCCGGGTGTCTCAGAGACTAGTTTCCTCATGCATATACGGTAGGAGTCAACAGATGTTGTTTTACTCCATGAGTTATTCCCTTAAGAAATAAATGAATTATTTAAATAAATAAATTAATTAAGAAAACAATGAATTTGGGGGCTCAACACAGCAAAATGTAATCTTCCTACAAAGGCGGACTTAGAGGAGAAGTCCTTGGAGGCTTAAGTTCTCTCCATGATTAAATAAAGGTAAAGGAAAATAAATGAACTAAGTATTCAAAACAAAATTTATGAGAAGTAAAACTGAAGGAAATAGGAAGTAAGACTGATAAAAGATAAAGCCAACAGATTCTAAAATAAAAAAACCACTATCTTTGGGGTGCCTGGGTGTCTCAGTCAATTAAGTGTCCCACCCTTGATTTTGGCTCAGGTCGCGATCTCAGGGTCATGAGATTGAGCTGCATATCAGGCTCCGCACTCAGAGGGAAGTCTGCTTGAGCTTCTCTCTCTCCCTCTCCCTCTGCCCCTCTCCTCCCTAAATAATAAATGAAGAAATCTTAAAAAAAAAAGACAACTATCTTTAAAATAAATAAATCACTAAGTTGTCTAATGAAGAAGCAGAAAGAAAGCACCCACGCCTCATGTCAGAAACCTAAAGAAGCTCACACCTCAGATACAGAAAAAATGAATATATTATTAAAAAGATTATTTGATAAAACATTTCAATATCTTGCAAATATGTTTTCAATTATGTATAAAATGAATGATCCTCCAAGATAACATAAATTGTCGAAACTGATGGAAGAATACATAGAACCCCTTCACAAGCCCATAACCATGAAGGAAATTGAGAAAGTTATCCAAAGAGTCTCCTCACAATAGCTTTGCGCCTACATAGTTTTACAAACAATGCTTTCAAGCCCTCAGATAATAAAAGCAATAATACAATTTCCATTCTATTTTTTTTCCAGATTATTGGGCGCTAAAGAGTTTCTCATTCTTTTCTTGAAATCAGCATAAGCTTCATATCCAGGCATGACACGTGTGCATTCAGAGCCAATGTCATAAATCAATAGGACAGCCATGTCCTAAATAAACTATTTAGTGAGTCAAACCTGATGGTGTCAAAAGAATACTCAAGGTACAGTTTGCTCAACATGAAGAAATATATTCATATAATTCATACTATTTAAGTCAAAAGAGAAAAAGCAGCTCATATCATTGTTAGATAGATGTCGATAAACGATTTGAAAAGGTGAATTAATTCGCATGACTTAATGTTAGAAAAAGCTCTTTAGGGAAGGCGGTTGGCTAGAGATGCTTAGGATCAACTCACAGCTGCACCTATTCTGAAGCCCCTGGGAACCATAAATGGTAACCCTTCTTCAAACCATTAGGGGGGGAACAGTAACTACGGAGTCCCTGACCCAGAGATGTTGTCTGCCAGGAATCAATCGTAGCAGCTGCTCCAAAACCCTGGACGTACAGGACCATTGCTCTTACCTTCGAGGCCACGGATGCTTCCAAGGACATGCGTGGGAAGCCTGAGCTCATACATGTTGCTGTTTAGGAATCTGGACTGTGATCCAAAAGCTGACAGCATCGATTGTCCGGCTGCCTTCCCTTCTGCTCTGATGCTGGAGGGTCCCGTGGAGGAGGAGGAGGGGGGCAGCCAGGAAGAACGTGAAAGGGGCTCCTTCCTACCTGCTCCATTGATCAGACCTAAGCCCAAGACAGAAAGAGGCTTTGAGATGAATGAAGCATTGGATTTAAGTAAATGTTTTACTTTTTACCTACATAAATGTACACTTTCCACAGAGTGAAAGCACCATGTGACTAGCACCCAAGTCACAGAAGATGCCAGTGCCCAGAAGCCTCCATTACATTCCTCATCTGGCCACTGCTACCACCTCCACCCGAGGGGAAGCCCTAACTTGATTTTTAAGAGGATAAACTAGTTTTGTCTGTTTTGAAAACCTTTACTTGTGTTTGAAAGAAGATGCTGTTCGTCTTTTTTCACTCAATACCGCATCTATGAGATCCATCCTTGCTGAGGTGTCCTCACTCGCCTTGCTTTGTGAATAGACCATTATTGATTTGCTCATTCTTCTCTTGACAGACAATTGGGTCGTTTCCCGTTGGGCTACTCCGAACATTGTTGCCCATCTTGCTCTGAATATGTAGGGACGTTTCTAAGTGAAGTGTCTGTCACTGGAATGCCTACATTTGGCTTTAGGGGACGTTGCCAAGCAGCTTCCAGAGGTTCTAACTGGCACTCCTGCGCAGTGGGCGAGAGTATAAGTTGCTCCACACCCTTGCCAATCTTTGTTTCCATCTTCTCTCACTTTCTCTGTCCATTCTGTTGAAGTGCGTGGTGCTATCTCACAGTGGTTTCGATTTTCATTTCTCTAATGTCTAGTGAAGTTGACCACCTTTTATATCTTTAGGTCACTTAGAATTTCTCTTCCATGAAGTCTCCGTTCGAGACATTGGCCCATGTTTCTGTTGGGTTGTCTGCTGTTTTTTATTCTTTTTTTCCTGTATTTCATTTGCCCATCCATTTTATGACTCTTCTCTTTTTCTCTTCTTTTCGTTTTCTACAAACTCCCCTTCTTCTCTATATTGTAAATACCCAGAGGACAGAGCCAGAGTGTTCTCATCTTAACATCATCCTCAGAGCCTGGCCATCTGTTTTCTTTGAAACACCCGCTCAGAAATACCTGTTGATGTGCGTTATGAGATTCTTTTCCATCCCTGTGGTTCTGTGGGGCTTTTAAAGATGGCAAGAATTTCTCTTCTAGAACAGTTGTGGCAAAACCAGCGTCAGCTCTGTGTATGAGCTCTCACAGCCTAGAGGATGTGTTTTAAGACGTAGGAACCACAATTAATTCCTGTTGGAGACAGTGGTGACAATCCTAGTCCTGGGAAAATAGGAAGAAGGTCAAACGATCTTTTTCAATCCCGAAAAAGGAACTTCTGTGGTATGTGAAGTCATTCTATGTTTTCTTCCGTCTTGTTATACCGTCAGTATTGTTCTCCTTATAAATCCTCATTTCATTTGGATCATCTGTTGCCTCCCTTCAATTTTCATTACATGGTCCAAACTATCTCCTTGTACCTTCTGGAAGTGCCCAGCTTGCCTCCCCTTGAGCTTTCAATTCTGTCTTTTCTTTCTCTGGGTTTCTAGTTAACCACATTCATTTAACTCTCTGCCTGGTCATTTCCTGGTCATTAATTCCCTGGAATCTAGCTAAGAATAAGTAGATATCTGTTTCAGCTGACAGAAATAATCCTCATCTAAATAATTTGAAAATGGTCTATTTTAATTTTAGCATGTAAATTTTAATTGAATTTAGCCACATAAATAAACATCCATATTTCACACAATGTATACAAATAATAAAAAAGTTAATTCTGTGGATTACAGCCTTAAATTTCTGTTCCATGCTGAGCTCTATAACGCATGACTACAGTTCCTAACAGGTCTTCTCTGTGTCCATAATCACCCCCATGAAGGTACTTATCAGTGATTATTTTCACATAGATTTTTATTCATCCAGTACTTTCCAAAGAGGAAACTTCAAAGGCAACAGGAATTGGCGTTTCCAGTGTGTCCGGCAGCTGTCGACCCTGGCTGCATGTCTAACAACCTGTGGCACCCGGGCTCTCCCTCAGACCAGTTCATTCAGAGTCTCTGCGGGCAGCCCCATCATCCGTGTGGTTTAGAGACTTCCCAGGAAATCCAACACGCAGCCAGAGTTGAGAACCGCTGAGCCTATGGCCAAGAATATGAAGAATGATGACACATAAAAAACATTGCAAAAGTTAACGGTCAGCACTGCGTTTCAGTTTGCAATTCAATATCCTCAGAGGCGGGTGAGGGTCTTCTCTTTGGCCCAGTCCTGGATTTCTACTTGTCCAAATGTGATGTAAAAAAACATGCCAAACATGTTGACGGCAGCGGACAGGAAAAAGACATTCCTCCATCCAGACACAGAATCCTGGAAGCAGAAAACACAGAACTATCAGTCTCACGGCTCCTTCCCCACCAGCTCTAGAAATCCTCCATTTTGTGTATTGCAATATTGATCTCAAGGTATAGCAGGAGTGAGCTGCAATAGCCACTTAACATCTTAACTTATCAAAGAAAGTTGTATGAAGTTGTTGGAGACAGAATGACTCTAAAATGAGCAGTGGGTTCTGGGTCGAGATGGATTTTTCCTTTTTCTTAAAGATTTTATTTATTTATTTGAGAGAGAGAATGAGAAAGAGAGAAAGCATGAGAGGGTCAGAGGGAGAAGCCTGCGATGTGGACTCGATCCCGGGACTCCAGAATCACGGCCTGAGCTGAAGGCAGTTGCTTAACCAACTGAGCCACCCAAGCGCTCAAGATGGATTTTTCTTTAAACCAAAATGAATTAACCTACACTAACGTCTTTCTAGAAATCTGGATCTCAACATTCCCAAAAATATCACATTACTCATTTAGAATTATGCCTAAAGTGACATTTTTAAGCTTTTATCCTTGTGTTCTCTCTGTTTAGTTGTTTTTGGTTGTTGACATCAGTGCCAACACCCCTTAGATGGGCGTCTCAATATAACGTGATTCGTATTTAGCTGGAATGACCCTCCTCACCCAGCCCTGGTAAGTCATAGTTCATTTGTGGCATTAGAATCACAGCAGATTCCTAGCGATTTGGTTGAAAATGAACCTGGAAACTAGATCACATAGAGATGTGTTAAAAATAAACAAAACTTTTTTGTAAGTTGGGGTCCTGGGGGGCTCAGTTGGTTAAGCGTCCAACTCTTGATTTCAGCTCAGGTTGTGATCTCAGGGTTGTGAGATGGAACCCCGTGTTGGGCTCTGGGCTGGGCATTGAGCCTGCATAAGATTCTCTCCTTCTCCCTCTTCCCCGGACCTCCCTCCCCCACCCCGTTCTCTCTCTCTCTCAAAAAAATAAAAAATAAAACTTTTTTATAAGTTGACTCTTGTCATTCTGCCATCCCAGCCTGGCTCTGCTTTTTCTTCTGTCTTCCCAGCCCACACTTCACACGGAGCGAGCCCTGTGGCGCATGCTCACAGCCATGCTCTTGTCGTCATGACCTCACCTCCCTTTATTTAAATTAGCCTTGGGACCCTTTATGCTTCCATGTTGTAATTGTTTCTAATTAGAATGAATCTGAACAGACTCCTCATAATCTTTCCCTTCTGCTCCTCTGTATCTCTTACCATTCCTTGACATGTATCATTCACTCTGGTCCTAACCCAGAACCGTTTCATGCTTTTTTTCCTCTAGGAGCTCATTGGTGCTGTTTTTCTCTACCTGCACTGCTCATTTTCATCCATCCAACATCCATTCATTGTTAGAAGTTCAGCTTATATTTTTCTTTCCCTGGGGAATCTGACCTAATAGACTGTCTTTTCGAGTCCCCTGTGACTAGGGGGACTGAGTAGACATCCACGCTTGCTGTCTCTGTCAGACCACGCCGTCCTGGAGAGCAGAGGCCCCGCCACGAGTCCCTGGGCCTAAAGCAATACCTGCCACTTGCAGACGTTCAAGAAACTGGCCAACCTGACTGATAAGGAATCCTGTGGCCGTGGAGGAGATGATTCCTGCGATGAGCCCAAATCCCCTTGAGATTCCCATGAGGAAGCTTGCATACCTGTGGGCCGAAGATTTTACAGATCATTTTATGTAGAAAGCTATCTGGGGCTTTTCAGCAACTCAAACTTTAATGCAGTTCAATTCTAATAGCAAAGTCATTTTGCCCAATGCAGTGTTTCGTTTACCTAAAGACGTGAGGGGTAATGCCTGTTTGCCAACCCTGAAATCACCTCTCTGCCAAGTCAACAACCAGGGGCCACTTCAGTCTCTGGGGAGAGCCCAAGATCCACCTGCCACCCCCATCCCAAGGCCGCTCAGCAAGACAGGCAGTGTATGCAGGGCCCAGGACCGCAGACTCCAAACAAACTGCCTGGGGCCAAAGCCTGGCTCTGCCTTTGTGTGACCTCAGGCCTGTCACTTCACCTTGGTGTGACTCAGTCCTCTACCCTTTAGAGTGAGGATAACAATCGGACCTACCTCATGCAGTTGTGAGGATTAGATGTGTTGATATTCGCCTATCAAGTAGGATTTGGCTCATGGCAATTGCATACGTATGTGGGAGCTGATATTATCAACACTCTGGAAGCTTTTCCAAAACACATGTGTGTGGGCCCTTTCCCAGAGCATACAGTTCCGTCTCTGGTGGGGAGGCCTGGAAAATTTTTCATCTAAATGATTCCTGGCCGAGATTGGGAACTTTTATTCTTAAAATGCCATAATAGGTCATGGCCACGTACTGACGTTTCTAGTTATTTGTCATTATTGTACTACCATTTTGTGCATGTCGTAACATGAAAGAGTTGCAAGAAAAAGGCTGAGGCCTAACACCTCCGAAAGGGCCTGGGTGAGGGGAACAAATGGGGAAAGGTCTTACCTGGGGGCGACATCTAAGGTGTTGATGATGAACCCCGAATCACACAGGTTGCTGGTCCCAGGAATGAGTATCAGCAAAATAATGGTTGTCACATAACTAGAAGCCACGAAGGGCAAGGCCACGGCACATAGCGATGGAAGGAGGAGCCCTGGGCAATGAGACACAGCATCAGGCCCCCTCTCAGACCAGGTGTGGGAAAAGGGATTAATTAACCAAGCCCAAGCACCTATCCTTACCTAGAGATGAGAAGAGTTTTCGTACAGTGATTAATCTGAGAAGGTTCCTGGACAGAAGGAAGTCTGCCAACTGGCCTCCTAGAATCGTACAGCTCGAAGCAGCAATGAAGGGCAGGGAGGACAGAACCCCACTCTGCAGGAAGGAAACATGTACAGTGAGTGCAGATGTGCAGATGGCCCCAATGTTTATCAGTTCCACAGGCAACTGTTAGCCACCCCCGGATATTCTGAGTGGTTTTTAGGAAGTTAAAAGTTCTTCTTTTCCACAGAAGAAGACCACTGCCTCAGGTAAGAGGGCCAGTTACAAGGGATTACACTGGTCTCCAGAGAAAAATGCTATTAATCTCTAAGAGACACTGAAGAATCGGCTGGTGTGGCGGTGTTGTTCAGTGGCTGAGGACTCAGCTCTTGCAGCTGCTGGGCCACTCAGTGGTTGTGCAATCCAAGGCACATCAGCTGACCTCACATGTCCCCAGGTCCATGCCTGGACAATAGGAATCATTACATGCCTTTCTCAAGGTCACTGTGAAGGTTAAATGAGTGGTTATGTGCAAGGCCAGAGTGCAGTAGGCATCGTGGAACTATTTCTCCTTATCGCCATTATTGTTTCCATAGAAGTACCGGAAGGATACTCACATCTCTGATGTTCACGTGGAGCACAGAGCTGATGTACGTCGGCAGGTATGTTATGATTATGGTGCATAACCAGAAATGGCTGAAAAACCCCGTGAAAATGGCCCAAAGTGGTAGGCATCTGACCATAGCCTTTATGGGGACAGATCGTCTAGGAGAACTGGACTGAAAGGAAATATCTAATCAGCATGGGGTTAGAACAGGCCTGAGGTTGCCTCTCCCATGAGCCCCTACCCTGCCATAGAGGCCTCCGCATGGTCCACAGGTGGAAGGGATGCACTGTACCTGTTGAGCCAGTGAGGCCACGATGTAGTCCTTTTCCCGGACACTTATGCATGGGTGATGCATGGGGTCATCATAAATCACCGTGAACCACAGGAGACAGCAGACACAGCCAATGCTACCTGGGAAGCCGGGACCCCATTAATTTTTGGGTAGATTTCTCTGCTGGGGGAAGGGAGTTTCCTCTGATGTGGTCCACATCCCCCTCAAAACACACCTATCAATTCATGGTTATTCCACCATAAGGAACTAAACTTGCCTGCTTCTTTATTTCAATTATTTTATAAATCTCCGTTTTTTAAAAAAGATTTATTTATTTATTTGAGTGAGAGAGAGAGAAAGAGAGAGAGCACGAGCAGGAGGGGCAGAGGGAGAGGGAGAGAGAATCTCAAGTGGACTCCTTGCTAAGCACAGAGCCCAATGTGGGGTTCGATCCCAGGACCCTGAGATCATGACCTGAGCCAAAACCAAGAGTCAGACACTTAACGGACTGCACCACCCAGGTGCCTCTACAAATCTCCTTTTAAAAGCTCTCCAGATACCAACTCTCAAATTTAGAGTGCTACTTGTCAATGTCAGAGCACTTTGGAGAGAACATGAGCATGAATGTACCATTGCATAGCTGGTTAATTACTCTTAGGACTCCAGTGGTTTACAGTGTTATCTGTCATTAACAGCAATTTCTTATTACACACATTATTGTCTTATTTTGGAAGATCTGAGTAGTCAGGATTGGAGAACATAGGAGTCATACACACATGAAACAACCTGCCCGAAAATCAGTGTGGCAAAGCAAAATTTCCAGCACATTTGCAAAAGACAGTGTTATTTGTATTCAAACAATATGTTCATTACGAATTTCCAGAAGAAATATTTCTTGACAATACCTGATTAACACGTGTGGACCAAAGATGACCTGGGATTAACATCATTAATGAGAGAGCCATACAAGCCAGAATCATATTGAATGACATCATTTGGTTATAACAATAGAACAGAAATGTGTCTCATTGTTGAGATCTGTCATTTGGCTAAAGACTGCATCTGATGTGATAAGTCCCGGAAGTTTCCCTAGGGAAGGTTGCATTTTTTTTTTAAGTAGGCTCCACAACCAGCATGGAGCCCAGTGTGGGGCTCAAACTCACGACCATGAGATCAAGACCTGAGCCAAGAACAAGAGTCAGACAATTAACCAACCTGGAAGGGTGCATTTAAATGAGCTTTGCAAGATTTGCCTGGTAGAGCATAGGTCAAGGGCATCTTGGCAGAAATAATAACTACAATAAAATATGAAGACATGTTAAAGTGTATCCCACCAAACTTTGGTGACCCTGACATTTTAACCACAAGGCAACTAGACCTGGCATTTCAGATGTGGTGGTGGAGATTCTACAGAAGATGCCTGGGGTGGGAGGGGAAGGCTGCATTCCCAGTTCTTCAGACGTCAACACCACACAGAGAGTCGTCTCCTAGATTGGAGGGAGGAAGCTACCAATCTTCAATGTTCTCTCTCACATGGGAATGGGTGACAGATAATGTGGGCGTCCAACCAAACGGCTGGCAAACAGAGGGCTTGTGATTCGGGAGAAAACAACTCACCAAAGATGTAGAAGATAAAAGGCCAGCCCAAGGCCTGTGAGATTAGGCCCCCCACGCAGAGGATGATGAAGGACCCAAACGCTGCCCCTGAAGAGAAGACGGACAAAAAAGGCACGTTATGAAAACAGCAAAGGGCTGAGACTGAGTGGCCTCCCTGGACATTGTCCCAACAGAGAGGAGGCAGACGTAGAATTATGGAGTGAGGAGAGCCTTTCTTCCTGTTCACAGATCTCCCCTAGTAACATCATGTGAAGTACTTAGAATTGACAAATAAGAATGGTATGCCTCCTGACATTTCAAGAGCTCCTTAACACCAGTGAGCCCAGTACAAATCCCTTAGTTTGTCATAGAAACTCTCTGCAATCATAGCCCACTAGTATTTCCTTAGAATCAGAGTTGCATTCTGGCAGGGTGCAATATGAGGTTGAGGACAGGAAAGAAAAGTCTTACGCAGATTAATAAGATACAGTCTCTGACCTCAAGGAGCCTTCAGTCCAGCTGGAGAGAAAAGCATGAGCAAAATTCATGATTACAAATATAATATAGTGTAGACTTTGGAGTGGGAGCATATTTAACAGAGATCCACAATAAGAAATGCATTTTACATGGCGACACTATACATACACAAAGACATACACATGCATAAAACTCAAACAAAAGTTTCATGAATCAATACTTAGACTCACCATGTGTAATGCACTCCAACATTTTCTATTCTATTCTATTTTGTTTTTAAATACTGGTTTTGACCCACTACATTAATTTTATGACCCCTGGATGGGTCCCAATCTGCACTTTGGGGGAACAAAAGGTTGTAGAATACAACTACAGTAATCGACTACAGTATGCTCTGGTTGTGTACAAGCGGCGAGTGTTGAAGCTGACAATGAGCTTACAACTTGTTTACATGAGCTAAGCAGTGAAATGGACGGATTTTGGGTAAAAGAAGCTAGGAGTAGAGAACCTTCCAGGAAAATGGGCAAGGAGAGTAGAGCCAGAAAGAAGTTAAGTACAGATTGTAGGTGGTGTGATGTGAGCCTTGCTTACAGAGGGATGCTGAGTGGAAAAGCAGATTGGGACCACATAGCAGCCGATCTTTGTATCCGTGCAATAAGGAGATCGTTTTTATCTGCAGTCATGGAGGAAAGCACTGAAGTCCAAGCAAGTGAGCAAAGAAGCCTCATCTGTGCTTTGAGGAGATAACTTGGCTTTGATGGGAAGAGAAGTCTGCAGGGAACAAAGCTGGGGAGAGAGGACTAGCTGAGAGTGATGTGGTTTTGGAATACAGGTGAGGTTCGGTGGGGTGAGGTCTGGAGCCGACGACCAACAAAGAATTCTTGAGACGCCTTTGGGGCAAAATGGTGTTTTATTAAAGCCCAGGGACAGGACCCGTGGGCAGAAAGAGCGGCTGCCCCGGGGTTGTGAGCTGTGGCTGATTATATACTGTGGGGTTGGGGGAGGTAAGGAAAAGGGAGGTTTCAAAAGGATTTTCAGACGCTAAAGAGGACCTACAAAGATACTGGAGGCCTTGCCATTGTCGTTAAGGTTGTTTTTCCTCCTCTAGCAAGGCATTAACATTGAGATAGTTGGGGGCTTCCTGGAAGAATATGACACGTATCCCACCCAGGAGTGGGAGTTGCGGGCTGTCAGCTTGTGCTTTGTCCTCCGCTAGCCTTCTGCTCCCTCATCAAGAGCATTTAAAGATAGAGAAGACAGGACAACTGCAGTGGAAGGAGCCAGAATGCAGGAGGGTTGCTTTGGAGTGAAAAGCATCTGTAGGATGCAGCTGTACATTGGAGCTGGGAGTGGGAGGCTTGAGGGAACCTCACTTCTATTCTGCAAGTATACACTTCCAGGGCTACCAGTTAGGGCAAATGGCAGTGATCAAATCATTTAAGTCCTTGGTGTGATCTGCTCACATGCCCTGGAGAGGCAGATGGCCGAACGACTGAGAGTGCGCTCTGGGGCCAAACTGCCTAGGCTCGGATCTCAGCTCTGTCACAGGCTGGCTACCGGTATTTGAGCAATTTACTTGATTTCTGCGTATGTTAATTCCCTCCTTTATAAAATGAGAGTTTAAAAGTTGTTAATTATCAGAGAGTTGCTGTGAAGATTAGCTCAGAATAGCAAAGAGCTCAGAAATCACGGGGGCTCTTTAAACTCAACTTTCCAGCCTGATTTCTCTCCTTACCACTGTGAAATCTTAATTCTCATGTGTATATCTTTGCTAAAATAGTGTTTATACACCATGGGTAAGTATTATATAAGCTTACTTGATCTTTTTTTTTTAAAGACTTTATTTATTTGAGAGAGAGAGAGTGCAAGCGTGAGGGGGAGAGGGGCAGAGAGAAAGGGAGAAGCAGACTCCCCACTGAGCAGAGAGCCCTTCAGGGGACTCCATCCCAGGACCCTAAGATCATGACCTGAGCCGAAGGCAGACACTTAACCGTCTCAGCCACCCAGGTGCCCCTAAGTTTACTTGATCTTTTTGCATTTATGCCCATTTAAGTTACAGACATTTTCTGACAATGCTTTGCTGACTACCCTAGCTCACAGTGGCCTCTTGCTTCGGAGCCTTAGTGGCTTTACGGCACTGACGTATCTTTCTTTCTCTCACAGATGTTATGTGACTGTCTCACATTGTCACATTTCTGGGTAGCACCTTCTCCCTCTCCCCCCCAAAACATCCCATGCAGAGAAGGGAAGATGCGTCGTCGGGGGCGAAGCCGATTACAAAGCTGTCACCCATATGCACATCCTTACCTGAGCCCGCGATGCTGGTGAGCTTGCTCCGTTCAAGTGGGGGAGCCCACTTGGCCCAAATTGTAAACTGACCTGTCCATGCCATTCCCTGAAAGGAAAATCATTAAGACCTTTGATCTCCAGTAGAATTAGGGCACCTGTATCCCACTCAGAATGAGAAAGTAGCTGGATACCTGGGCCATGCCCTGGATTGTCCGAATCACAATAACCAAAATCACTCCGAAGTCAGCAGCCAACGGCATAAAGAGGGTGAGAAGAGAGGAGATCAGCAGACCAGCACCAAGCATCTGCTTTGCTCCAAATATCCCTGCTAAATATCCACTTGGGATCAGAGTCACTATTATCCCATAGCTGATGGAGCTAAAGATGATACCCTGAGTCTCTGGGCTCCATTCATATACAGAGGCCTGGTGGGGGGTGGAGGGGAAGAAAGAAAATTATTTGCTAAGAAGTTCTGTTATGAAAATCTACTTTAAAACCAGTGCTGCTTAGGGTGGGTGGGATTCTAGTATAAAAATCCACTTTTCTGGGTTTTGTTTTTTGTTTTTTGTTTTTGTTTTTTTAAAAGATCTTATTTATTTTCTATAAATTCTTTTTTACTTAAGTTCAACTTAATTAACAAATTGTGTGTTGTTAGTTTCAGAGATAATTTAGTGATTCATCGGTTGTATTTTTTACAGAACAGATATCCCACCTCTTCCAAACAAACAACCAATTGTACCCCTAATCTGCTCCTTTCAGAGGGGGAGTAAAAACAAAAGCAATGAAGAAGGAAAGAGATAAAGAAATGAATACAAGATAGGAAGATATTAAATGAAAAAAGGCCATTGAGAGATATTTCATCTGGGAAAGAGCTTCCTTTAACTATTTGCTTCTGAGAAAAGTTAGGGGACATGTTGACTCTCATTTCAAAAATTAAAAAAACACAACTTTACTGACCTCTCATCAAAATTAGTCCTTAAAATCAAGTTTAGGAATTATGGTCTGCCTTGGCAGAGATGACTTCCTAAAACACATATTGCACGTTAATAAGATCACATTCTTCTCATGATGTAAGCCAATAAATAGTTTTTGGTAACCCACTAGGTATGTGGCATCATGCTATAAATTGAAGTAAAGAAGCAAAAATACATATATATATAATATGAATTATTTTTATCCATTTATAATAATTATAAATAATGCAAGATATATGATTCAGGTGAGAATTCAAGTTTGAGGACAAACATCAGTAAAATAGGGACTTTGAGAAAAGTGAAGAACAATTTGCAAAGATCCCAGGAAGGAAGCAATACTTGAACCATCCTTTGAAGAATGACGATGATTTGCACAAAGAGAAATAGGAAAATTCATTTTTATTGAAGAGCAAAAGTGAACTTATAGCATTTGAAATGATACCAGATGAAGAGAAACTAACCAGGGCTCTGATTTACTCAGAGCCTGGGCCACTGATAGCAAATCTGAGTGTGCTGAAAGGTGGGGCCAGATTTTGGAGGAGCAAGCACGTCAAGAGAGAAGTTTGGCAACTTGAAGGCATCCTGGAATCTTGAGCATGAGAATGTGAATGTGTAGGATGAATAATGGAGAAAAGACTGGAGGCAGAGAGGTTATTATAAATAAGCTGGGCCCAAGATAATAAAATCATGAAATAGGGCGACAAGGGCGACATTAGGAATGTACAGTAAATGATAGTTTAAAGAAAAATTTAAAGATAAGGTGTAATCATGATTCTCATACAATATTGTGATAAAGATTTTATTTAACTCATTGATTAATAAGGGAATTGGTAAGATATTACAACTGGTCCAAAGAGAATTCAAAGACCCATAAGTAGGAAGTAATATTGAATTAGATTTTAAATATATGGCAAAATTGGCTTATTCAACTGAGTGGCAAGTGAGGAGAGTACCAGTTGGTTTTCCACAGGACAAAATTCATTTGCAGAGCTATGGGCAAAAATCCCTTGCATTACTATTTGTTATATAGAACTTACAGAGTCGCAGAATGGCCCCAAGACAAGGAAAGGTACAGAGATCTACATAGAATCTGGCAGAAGGATGTGCTCTGTGCCAAGTTTTTCATGGAAGACACCTAGTATTCTGTTTCTTTGTGGAAGTTTTCACAATTTTTTCTATAGTCCCCCCCACCTTATAATCATAACAATCTCAATGAAGGATTATTTTTATCACAGAGGTAAGAAATATCTCAAAAACAGAATTCCAGTCTTTTTTCAGTTGGTCATTGAAAATTCATGCTGCTATGCTTCACAGAATCAAGATCCTTCCTTTCAAACTGGGTTTTCCCTCTCAACAAAGAGCATAGTTCTCCATGATACTTACCCCTGTATTAAATTCCTTCATGGATCTGCTGGGGTTGTTGAGGGTGTCTGCAAGAGGTCCTTCTGTGGAGGCATTGGGCAGACCATGCTGCTGAGTGCTGTTCACCATGGCAATGATTGCAATGCTCAGACTCACACGCTGGGTTATCATGGTGAAGTTTGAGAAGTGCATGATGAGAGCCAGTCCATAGCGTAAGGAACAGAACTCTGGACCTAGAGGACAATATGGAAGTACACAATGAACATCCTGACTGAGGCCACCACCTTTCCACGTATCCCATGGCCAAATCTGAAAAAAACATCAGAGACCTCACTCAGCCCCACTGCTTTTTTTTTTTCACTGAAATAACCACGGCTACATACAATGTTCCTTTGCCATATTCTTTCGTTGGCTGGAAGAGAATCAATCTGGGATCTTACAGTCAAGTAAAGCAAATATGGCCACTTTTTCCAGAGGTGTGGGAAGCAGATGGTAACTATAGGAAAACCTAAGTGAAGGCATTTAGGTCACACTGTCCCAAAATAAATTGAATGAGGGAGGTGGTGGCAGAGGCAGTAACAAAACCCAAGTCACCCAGCTGCAAGTCAGAAGTCCTGTCTGTTCTGCATATTCATTCACCATAAAGCTTGGAAGTTTATACTTAGAGAACTGTTGTTGAAGGAAGCTAACCAAACCTCCAAGGATTCTATTTGAAATATTTGAGAGAGAGTGTGTGTAAATGAGCACCTCCACTGATTCTTTGGTCTGATGTTCACTTGGAAACATTTTTGTTGTGTGTCTGTAGACCTGACTGCGTATGCATTCAGCTTTTAAAAAACTAATGTGGAGAACCATTTTTACTGAGTTTGTAGGTGATATAGTGCTGGACGAGAATTTCATATGTTACAAGAACAACACATTTTCTTTAAAGATTTATTTATTTATTTATTTATTTATTTATTTATTTATTTGAGAGAGAAAGGGCAGAGGGAGAAGGAGAGAGAATCCTCGAGCAGACTCCCTGCTGAGCATGGAGCCCGACATGGGGCTCGATCTCAGGACCTTGAGCTGAAATCAAGAATCAGCCACTTAACCAACTGAGCCACTCAGGTGTCTCCAAGAAGAACACGTTTTTTGAAAAGTCCCCACAAAGTGGAACAAGGGACCGATATTGCAAGGGTTCCCAAGTGAATGATGGATTCGATTTTTTTCTGTGAATTTGGAGAACTAGAACTAAAGAGAAATAAAGAGAGGACCTGTGAACAAGCAGATAAAAATATAATGAAAGAGATCATTTTTAATGGCCAAATAGGCTCAGTAATAGGATTATTTGCCTGCAAAAAAGTTATTCCCATGCTACTGGAGGATTCCAAGCTCTGGGAAATAGCCAGCCACTTGGCAATAACACTATAAAAGAATTCATACATAGGTTGTTTAAAATGACTTTTTCAAGACTTATTCCATTCCTTATGTCCAGTATTTATTGGTCATTTGGCTTGATTTCTGATAAGTAACTCAGTGGGGCTCCCTAAAGAAAAAAACAACAGGTAACAGGATGAGGGGCTGGAGTTAGTTCAATGTTCTGTTGAGTCTTTGAGTCTTTATAATGGGTGATATGATTAAAAAAAAATTAGGAGGAGAAAGCAAGGAAAACAACAATGCTGGAGATGAGTGCCCACTCTTCCATAAAGTGCCTGCAAACCAGAGGGGAGGGTTTACCTTTCTTGGTGGAAGACTTCTTGTCCATTTGGCTTCTTTGGGAAATAGCGGCACAGTCTGTGAACTTTCCCTCTGCCCCGAATCTCTTTCACCACGACTAGGTTTTATCTATGGGATGGACAACAGTCCAAAACAAGACACACAAATAACTTTTCATGTGAATGTGGCCTTCTCTCAGCATCAAAGTTTTGATCCGACACAGCTATGCGATTTACATTTTGCAGTACACTCTTGTTAAGCTAACGGAGGACTCGGTTTTTATAAGAAAATCAGGCTGTGTGACTTAGAACTGGTTGTTTAAATGCTGCAACTATCCCTTCCTTCATCTGTTCAGTAAGAATCAGCTTCTTTCTGAGTGCTGCCCCAAGAATTTCATGAGAAACTTGCAAACCACGGAGAACTGCGCAAAGGCGAGGAGTACCGTGGCTGGAGGTGGACCAGAGGACAGGAACGTTAAATAAGCTCAGGAGCTGGCAAGAAAGTTCCAGAATACCCTTGCTTTCCTTATGACTGTGCTTCTGTTCCTTCTGCACAACCAGAACAATGCTGCACTGGGTCTTCTCTGAACAAGAAGGATGACATTGCATAACACTTAGGTACACTACATTTGAGGCTCAGAAATGTTTATTGCTGTCTTTGTTACACACAAATTGGACACTTTATTGGACTGAAAAGTTCTTCAGACCATCTGTAAAATCACACTGAGTGGGGCTTTCTACTACAATTACAAATAAACCCGTTCTTTTGACAGGAAAAGAGAATTCATGATCCCCAAGTGGACATGTTTAATTCGATATTTGTATACTGGCCGAACTCTCTTTGCGGATATGTACACTTCTTTTAGGAACAATCCTTATCCTCAGAATACTGTCAGTTTTGCAGCTGTCCCTAAACTGAAGCCTCCGTGACTTTATAAATACATGTATCATGCTTATATTTCATCACCCAGAACTTTGCCTTCTTTCTGCACATCAATTTAACAAGAATTATCTGCACCCTTAGGGACATTCATATTCCATGACTTTAGGATAGAGGCTCATAAGGAATGAAAAGATAAAAAGTTTTGTCCAAAAAATTCTTTGCAGGATTAGTTATTACAGCATAATATTGGAGACAAATTAACCTAACCAAAAGGTTTTTAGTGAGTCAACGTTAATAGATTCTCATGATGGACTTTCTTAAAATAATGTCCCCAAGATGTTGACGAATGTGAGGGAAATGTGGGTACCCTGGAGTACAAAGCAGTGGCCATGCCGGTGTTGATTCTTGCACGTGCGCAGAAAAAGAAAAAGATTCACACAAGTACCAGCCGGGGCTAATTCTGGGTTATAGAACACGGTGCTCACGTTATTCTTTACAATTTTCCAGATCCACCTAGTGATTTTTTTTTTTTTTTTTTTTTTTTTTTACAAATCACAGATACTCATTTTATACCCGAAGGAAGCTAATTGAAAGAACGGTAATTAGGCTTCATTAGCATAGACTGGATAGCCTTCTGCTTGCCAAAGTTTCTAGAATTCTAAGAATAAGATCTCCCCCTCGAAGTTTTGAAATTTTCTCATTTGTTTACCCTGACCTAAATAGATGCCCAGTGCCTAAACCAGACAAGGTCAGCACCAGGAAACATGTTGGCTTTTGTCCTGCTGTGGAAGGCTTTCGAGTCTTGCTAACATCTGGATGGTCTCAGAAGCCCAGTTCAGTGCTTTTCACTCAGATCCTAGCTGAAGCACAATGCAAAGGACACCTCGTTTACCTGGAGTTTGGACCACTTTCTAGCTGATTTCCCTTGTTAGGTAAATTCCCAAGACCTGCCTGAAGGGAACTTCCTTGCTGTATATGTGACTAGTGATATCCATACTCCACTGAAAGCTTTCCCACCAACCTCACCAATCAGTCTGAACTCTAGAGCTGAAAGACACTCCAGAGATCCTCTGGCCCAACTGTTCATTTTGCTGGTAAGAAAATCGGTGTGCAGGACGTCTGAGAGGTTGACTCCCAGTCACACGGTTTACAGAGCCAGCACCAGCTCTCCCAATGGCCAGACTGTTGCTTATCCTATCTGTAAATAAAATTCCCCTTTATGTTCCTATTTTAAGCTCAGCTTAGAACCCAATAGGGTAGCTTCATTTTGAGGTATTCTACAGAAGAATTCATATGGCTTTAAATGGTTTTAGACATTTATTCCAGAAGGAAATTTGATGATGAAAATACTTTCAAGTGGAGCTTTGAATATTGACGAGAAGAAAAATGACTAGTTTTTCTTGCTTTTTGTTTGTTTGTTTGTTTGCTAGTGGAATTATATCACAAACCTGTCACTTCAGCTGTCTTCCTTCCACTTGTTGCCATCCCTACCTTAGTCTTCATGATTTCACATACTGTTTTGAATTTTGTCTCAATAGTTGATTTCACTTGTTAATTTCCTATTTCCTCTGCATGGGACAAAGAGAGAAATTGGGCAGACATCCCAAACTACTCTACACTAGGGTCTCTCAGTAATGTAATAATGAAAACTACTTTCCCAAAATAATCACAGAAGCATATGAAATGCTGGGGTCTGAGCCTTGTCATGACTGGAATGCACTCAGAGACAGTGGGTTGAGTCAGTCCAGTTGTAAACAGGTTAAGGACCTTCCCATTCAGCAGTGACACTTCTAAAAACTAGTGAGTCCTAGCACCAAAGCTGTAAGTATATATAGAAAAATTGAATAGACAGTAAATGAAAGTTCTTCCTTTTAAAAATAATTTGATGATACAGTATAGAGTTATAGTTGATATAAAATTAATAATGTCGACAATATGGTTTATGCGGAAACAAAAGAGCAGGCTTTTTTCCCATTTGTCTCAGTCTGGAATGCACTATTTTGTTAGAGTAGTCTTTTTATTGCTCTTAGATTTCCCCTAATCCTCAGCCTGTCTTGCATCATCTCTGTTAGTCGAGTCCCCCAGTTTACTCAGAGTAAATGTTACATGTGGTTGAAGAGTATGAACCCGTAGTTCAAAGGGTATCCAGGGACCAAGCTCTTCTGTGCCATTTACAATCTGGGTAAACCAGTGCATTTTTCACAAGCTACCAGAGCTTTAATTGAACAGGAAATAGAAAAAAAAAAAGAGGTAATATAGGGATGATATTACTTCACGGGACAGTTGTGAGTGGGGAAAAACAAGGTACGAGGCATGCCTTCTAAAAGTAAAGTATGCATTGTAAACTGTTACTAATAATCAACACTCACAAGATTGGCACTCGGGTCCTCTCAGGTTAATAAGTACAGATTTAGAGCAAATAAAATACATTTCTCTGGAAGTGCTTTTGATTGATTGTTAAATTAGTTTTAAACATGTCCTTTTAAAAGAAGTTTCTTCTGAACTAGAATCCACGAGATGGGGGAAGAAGGGATGCATCTTGCTACAGACATCAGAGAACATGCGAAGAAGCAATGTTTTCCGTGTTAGTAAAACTTAGGCCCCTTTTTATCACCTGCCTACCTTTCTGAAAGATTGGTAGTGCTGAAAAAAAACTCGTTATTCCAATAGGTCCTTTAGGTCATGCTGTCAATTCACTTACGTATTAAACATGAAAAAAGAAAGAAAAGTGTATCAAGCACCAATAGTGGGTGATGCTAGAAAGCAGAGTAAGGCCCAAATCAAGGGCACTTGGGTCACTGCCTTGGGGGACTCACAGCTCAGCTCACCAGGAGATCCACAGGAGCGCCTGTGCTCCTTTCTTCCAAGTGACAACCTCAGGCTTGTCTTTCAGGTCAGTACGAGCCCGACTGTGCTTTGGACCAGGGACCTTCTCTGGCAGATTGGGAGAAGGTACCTTCCCTGAGTTTGCACCTAGGGCTTCCTGCCATAGCACCAAAATTATCATCTCCCTGGGCACCTTTCCTGAGCTGTCTGATGAGGGCAACTAACTAGGTGAGCTCTACAAGCATACAAGTGTTCTTGCCTTTAATCTTATTCACAACTTCATATTCTCCTTTTCTTGAGAGACAATCTCAAATATACATAGAAATCTGAAAAGACTCATTTGCCACAATCCCCAAGCCCAAACCTGGTTAGTTCTGATCCAGTATTTTAACCCACAGTGAAACCCATCCAACTCATCGAGGTGTCACAGCTAATACGGAATCCTCAGAGAATTGCCCAGTGTCCATTGGCCCTGGTGGCCTCTCAAGCCTTGTTCAATTGAATCGATTGAATCGATTGCATGCTTTAGAAAGTCTCTTCTTCATTCTGGAAACAGAAACCATTCCCAGGTGGGAATCCTTAGGCTGCTGTTAACGGTTTTCCTCTGACTTCCCTCAAACTGTTCCCTCCCTTTAATGGATCTTTGATTGATTAGTAATTATCCTCTGACCCAAAAAGAAGAAAAGCACTTACCTTCACCATTAAACCAGTATTTTAAGCCCTAGACTATAAGGCTCCCTGAAGAAGTTTCTATCCTTTCCTCCCTTTCAAATAATTCCACAGAGTTTCACAAGGATAAGTAATGAGCCACGTGGCAGTCAGACAGCATCAGGTCTGGCCCTACATCCTCAGAGCAGAACACCTGAGTCTGACTCTGCTGCTTAATTTTTAACTTCATTTTCAAGTTCTCACTGATAAAATGAGTATCTCAAAAGGTGACATCATGTTTTTCTGCTTTGAACTGTGCATACAACCAAAAAAGTCAACAAGCATTTTTCCTGAAAGGAAGGTGGCATGGTTTGGATGAAAGAACAAGGCTCCTGGGATTGGAGAGATGAGGTGAACCCCACCTTCACTTCCTAGTGTTTTCTGTGGCCTTGGACAAGTCACTTAACCTCTGTGAATTTCATTGGTAAAGCAAGGGTTATAACACCCAACTCATCGGGTTATTATGCAAATTAAATGAAATACTTATGCTAACTGGTAGTCAGTCTTCAATAAATGAGATGTTTCCACTAAGGGATTCTGCTAAGTCATCTAGACTTTCCTTAAGCTTTTGGTGCCCACATTCTAATAAACTTTGGCTAATCCGATATCCTTTCATGAAGCTACCCTGTGTTG